CTGATTTAACCTGCAATTATTTTTTTTTTAAAGCATCTTTAAAATTTGAATAAGGCCAATGAATTATGCAGAAAGTTTCTGCCTTGGCAGAGAAACCCCAATTGCTGTGTTTGGGCACCAGTTTGAGACATGCCCAAGGGCACACTTTAAACTGGGGTTCACTCCAAGGAGACATTTTGCAGACCTGTGTCACATGCAGTTGTTGAGTTTTGCCATATTTTCTATCTCCCCCCCCAAAAAAGCCCTGTTTGGGTTTTGCTTCAGCCACTACTTCCCATCGATGATTTTAGGTGCGAGGCAAATGTCAGGTTTTGCTGCCTCGCTCCTATTTTGGTTCAAATCCTCAAAGTCACCACTTCAGCCACCACGCTGGCACCATATGGGTTTTAACTGGCCAGTGCCACCAGCCCCAATCCAAAGCACTTCCCAAATTCCCAGGGTTTGGGTGGGGCCTTTTGCTTGGCTGTTGCTGGTTTTGAACTAGAGCCATTTGTGCCTTCCCTCCCTTAGCATGGAGGAACAAGCTGCCAGTGGACTAGAGCTGGAAAAAACCCAAACCAGCTCAGTGGGAAGGGTTTGAATGCCTGCAAAAAGGGATTTCCTCCCCCACCCTCCATAGACTAGAGGTTGCTACCGCCACCTGTTCAGCCGAACAAGTTCAATCCATGTTGATGGGGATGCTCTTTGGGTCCAGCTTTGCCAGTGCAGCTCTAACCCAGAGTGCATGAGACATCACTGGAAGTACCACGATACAGCATGGGAGCATCTCACTGTCCCCTGAGCAGCACCTGTGGGCAGGACCATCCCTCCAAACACATCCCAAAAGACTTTATGCATGTCTTTGAATTTGAGAAGTGGTGAAATGTCCCCAGCCCTGTGCTATGAGGGGAGCCAAGCGCTGGCTCAGGCACAGCATCACCCTGTGCTGTGTAGGGCATGACAGAAGGGTCAAACAATCTTCTCCTGCATTCATAAAAAAAATAGTTTCCCCACCAGTCTCAGGTCTATTGGCTAGGCAGCAGGTCTGAAAAAATCCCCCTTGCATCTCAGGACGTGGCTGGAGATGCTCCTGCAAGCCAAAGCCCTGAGCTTCTTTGCAAGCCTGAGCTCAGTCATGGGTTACCGCTCAAACAACATATTGGAAAATACAGGTTCTAATTTGGTGTTATGGTCCTCATGCATTTTCTAGGATGGTTTTGCCATCCATGCCTGAATATATGTTAATTGCCTCAAACACGCTATTGGGTTTCTCAACGGAAAACCAAATGTTTCTACCAGGTCATTTCCTTGCCGAGTCACACAGCCAACACTAAGCACATTTAAATACACCATTTACCGAAACGAGACCACCTAAAATATAATAAAGCTGATTTTCTTGCCTAATGAAGAAAAAGGCTTTTTTATGAGAAATTAGATGCCTCTGGTCCCAGTACTACCTGTTCAGCACAAGAAAAACGTAAGGCCTGGAGACAACCATTGCTAAAAGATGATGCAAGAAAGTTTTTGCCATTTTGGATGTGACCAGTCATCCATGGAAGTTCCCAGAGTGATCAAACTCCCCAGAAACAGGTGCAAAAAAAGCCTGGAGAAGAGAGTTACAGAGAAATTTCCACTCTGGGAAAGCTTCTCCCCAGCAAACATCTGGTTTGGGCTCTGGAAAAATGCAGGTACCATCTCCCGCAGAAGAAATTACCTTCTCTAATGTAACCACAGCTGCTCCCATCAGCCATATGGCTGTCTAATCTTTCTGAACATCACAGAGCTTCTGGCTTGAGTGACATGTTGCAGCAGTGATTTCAAAACTTAATTAAGTTGTATAAAATACCTTCAGTACATTGGAGATGCAACAGATGGATTAAAAAAAAGGAGATAAACTTGTTCTTGTGCACGGATGTTTACCTTAATGACACACTGAGTGCATTTCTGAGTACTAGTGAGTTATTTAACAATCAAAGAGAAGATCCAAAGACCTCTCAACATCTACAGCCACACACGCAGAGACCTTTCCAGCATCCAGTGGGACCTTTTCAGCAACAGTTTCGGTCCCAGATCTAGTGCTGACATGCGACGCAGTTTTGCTGCAGGTTATTTTTGTCAATTCAAAGCTGGAGGATTTTAGTCCCCGTCGTCAACACCTACTTTCCACCTGCGTGAGCAAGGCCAAGCACATCAAAACCATCCCCAACATGCTGAGCCTGCTG